CCACACTGCGAGGGGTGGCCGCGGGGGCGACATCCGGTCCGGCTAAAACACCGGCCGCGAGCCGGCAGGTGGGAGGGCGCCGCCGCCGCCGGCCAGAGCGGGCAGTGCGGCCCGTCGTCGTCGCAGTCGCCGCCGCCGCGAGCCGGCAGGTGGGAGGGCGCCGCCGACGCCGGCCAGAGCGGGCAGTGCGGCCCGTCGTCGTCGCAGTCGCCGCCGCCGCGAAGGCATGCCTTCAGATAGGCTGCCGCTGCTTTCGGACGCGCGCCTGACGCCGCCGCCGCGGGTCAATGGAGTGACGACCGTATGGCGGACGCCAGGCGCCGACACCGTCAGGGCCTGATCGGACCTCGTTAGCCGAAATGACACCGTTTTTACGTCCGACACCGCTCCCGTGATAACCTTGACTCGGAGCGCCAGCCGATCTGATCACGTGACCTGTACGGGTGCCGGCGCACACTGCACCCGTGACAGGGGCTGGGTAATAACGGGGTGCGCCGCCGTCGGATCCCCTCGTGGCCCGGCGCCGGCGCCGACTGCTTCCGAACGGCGCGGGAGTCGGCCCCGCGCCGCCGGCCGGCGTTTTTGCTGCGTGCGCCTCCGAAGGGGTTCCGGCGGGGCTCCATTAGGTCCAGGTGATAAGAGGAACAATGAGCGGCTTCCGCGCCGGCCAGATTGGAGCGGCTGCCGAGCGGCAGGTGGTGACCGGCGCCGCCGAGGTGTCCGCACGCCGAGTAATCACGAGACGCTACTGGGGCTGGTGCCTGTCTGCACGAGACACCGCTAAAGGTGGTGACCGGCGCCGCCGAGGTGTCCGCGCACCGAGTAATCACGAGGCGCTACTGGGGCTGGTGTCTGTCTGCACGAGACACCGCTAAAGGTGTTGGTCGGCGCCGCCGAGGAGTCCGCGCGCCGAGTAATCACGAGACGCTACTGGAGCTGGTGCCTGTCTGCACGAGACACCGCTAAAGGTGTTGGCCGGCGCCGCCGAGGTGTCCGCACGGGACGCCACTAATCACGCCCGCTGTATAAACAGCGGGCGGCCGGCGGGCGCGGGCCGGCACGCCTGTTTATCGTCCGTCGCCGGGCGACGGTGACCTGCGCGTCGGTGGTCCCAGCGGGGCCGGCGGCAGCGCGTGTGCGACGCTCGGGCTCTGGCACACCGCCGTAACCGTCACACGCGTCCCCTGAAGGTGGTCGGCACAGCACCGGCACGGCGCGGCGGCCGCCGGTGGCGCTGAGGCAGCGCGCGCCATGGTGTTCACTGGGTCATGTTCAGCAGCTCGGAGCTCAACGCAAAGCCAGAAGCCAGGCTTGTTTAATGCATAAATTGGGCTTACCGCCTAGGGCAGGACCCCACACTGCCACTGCAGACCTCTCTGGCTTCAAAAGTGATGTCTTATTTCAGCGTACGCTATAAATGCTATGAATATCTTAACGGCGTAAATTGTTTACTTGATGTAATAAGCACCAGAATGTTATGCTCATTTTATCCACCTCGACGAGGAAGTATCTCCGACACTTGCTGCATCTCATGGAAAGTTAAACAAACAAAGAACCGAGAGAATGACGTAGTAGAAATGGGCGTAGACGGCAACACAAAATGTCTCTTGATGTAGCCCAGAAACATCCTGCAGGCAGGCGCTAGCCGAGTTCGATGGTTTGTTCAAACAAACAGCATATCTCGCTCAGCACCTCAAGCACACGGTCACGGATTGCACACCAAGGCTTGATCGATAGACGTTCCTCTTTTCTCGCATCACTTGCACCGATGCACGCGTCGCCGATGCACACTGATGCACGCATCGCCAGCCGACTCGATGCTGACGGCTGCATGTACGCGAAGCTTGGAAACCTTTGACCCGCTTATATGCAACCGTTTATAGCCCAACGACGCAGACACAAAGACGTCCAAATATGTTCAGAGGTTCGCTTGTATTCAGAAACTTTGGACCGCATCGGCACCAAAGCGATGATCTTAGATCGTGATGCACGAGTGAACTTCATGTATGATAACGCATCCTCTCCAGCTGTCGCTCAGAGCACACCGATGTGCGACATTTAAGTCATTGTTAGACGCAGGCATATATTATTGATGCTGGTAGCAATGTGTGCCGACTTGCTGGATGTTGAAAATCCACCCCTATCTGCTCATCTTAACATGCTGGACTCCTGTTCGCTATTTCCTGGCCAGTGCCCGCGGGCCTCCGATCACAGTGAGTGCCTTGGAGCTCGGGTCACATGCCTATTTCTTGGCCAGTGCCCACGGGCCTCCGATCACAGCGAGCGCCTTGGAGTTCGGGTCACATGCCTATTTCCTGGCCAGTGCCCACGGGCCTCCGATCACAGCGAGCGCCTTGGAGCTCGGGTCACATGCCTATTTCCTGGCCAGTGCCCACGGGCCTCCGATCACAGTGAGTGCCTTGGAGCTCAGGTCACACGTCTACGTAGAGCTTGTGACACACCGGCTCCGGCCCCGGCTCCGGCTCCATATCCAGCCCCCTCTCGCTCCAGCTCCGGCTCCGGCTCCGGCTCCGCCTCTGGCTCCGGCTCCATATCCAGCTCCCTCTCGCCCGGCTAGGGCTCCGGCTCCGGCTCCGGCTCCGGCTCCGGCTCCGGTTCCGGCTCCGGCTCCAGGTCCAGCTCCCCTCTCGCTCCGGCTCCGACTCCGGCTCCGGTTCCGGCTCCGGCTCCAGGTCCAGCTCCCCTCTCGCTCCGGCTCCGACACCGCAGAGGTCGCCACACGAGCGTCAAACGTCACCACTCGGGCTGGGTTGCACAAGCCGGGGATGTGACCAATTATTGGAGCCAAGGTCGGCGCACGGCCCGGCCCGACGCTCGTACACGGCTCTCGGTCCGCTCCGCTGCACTCCGGTGCGGCGGAGTACAGCGAGCGGAGTGCTGTGGACCGGCACCGGCGGCCACTCCACTCCGCCCGCCTCGGGTCTCGTCTGAGGGGCTCTCGGCTTCTGCCGTCCCTCGGCGGGAGCTCGGGCCGCACGACCTAGTGCTGAACGACCTCGGACCGTCAAGACCGAGCTCGGTCATATGCGTGCATCGAGCGAGAATGCACCGAGGAAGAGAAGGCATCAACAGAAGCACGAATGCGTCAGGAAACGTTGGTGCGTTCGCCTGCAGCCAATCATCTCGGCAGGGTTGTAGACCGGTTGTGTCGCAGAGCGGGGCAGGAGTGTGAGCTGGCTGTGTCACAGCAGGTTCGGGGTGCCGGCGCGGCGGAGGTATGAGCCAGCTGTGGCACGCAGCGGGTCCCGGGCGAGGCCCCGTCATGCACTGGCGCCCCCGCTGCGCTACAGTTTAGCACGCTTTGATTCACCCGCAATGTGGAAAGTGAAACGCGTTGCGCGGTCGGTCGTCAGCCGGGAGCGAACTGGCATGGTGTGGAACGACGGCCCAAGGTGCACCGATCGCTCCGGCTCAGAAGATTTACATAGGTGAAACCGCCCTTAAGTTTGGAGGGGTCCTGGTTCGTCGCATCCTTTGGGCTCGATGCATGAACGAGGGGACATGTATGTGAGCACTGGGAAAGAATTGGTTTAAATCCCGCGTTCCCCGTCAAATAATCTCGCAAAGTTATTACTATTACTCTGTCAGCGGGCCTCCAGCCAAACAGGGCTGGACCGCCGCCGACCACAGCTGTTGACCTAGTGGACTTTTGTTTTGACTGATTCAGCTCTGGCCTGTGACCGGGAGTGGACGTTCACCACGTCAGCCTGGCGGCTTGAGCGCACAAACACGGCCAAGCCAAGCCAAAAACAAAGCGATCGCAAGCGGGACTTCAGGAAAGACGGGGTGGCCCGCACCGGTGACATGTTGGACACCTCTTCTTTCGTTGAAGTCAAGCAATGCAGCCTTTCACGCCGTTCGGTGTGACGATCCCTGATATATCAGGCATTTTTGCTTCGTTCTCCCGACTGAGACTCGTCAAATGTCTACAAGAAGACGGAGTGGAGAGAACTGGATGGCTGAAATTTAACGCCACATTTTGTACAAGTGGCCCGCGTGAGAACTCGGACCGGACGCAACGCATAAGCGGTCACAAAACTCTTATCTACAGCATGAATCGGAGCTAAACCAGGTGTAACCAGGCTAAACTTTTAAGGTGTAAATTCGGCCACATAGAATGAAGCGTCGGTTATACCCAACTACCGATTTTGTATAATTCATCGATGGCGGCTGCGTATAAGCAGTTCTACTTACGATATCCACTTCAGATGCGTGAAATATCATAGTTCTACAATATAAACAGATTCCAGCACTATCAGGCCATTGCCTTCGCTCCTGCTGATCTGTTGTAGCGATGTTTCTCAAACCCCCGTCCCATGCCTCCCAGCTGTGTGCTTATTGATAACACATACTTTATTGTCCATCTGACCTTACTGACAAGTTGACTTCAACTTCATTTATTTGTAAAACAAGGGAAAAACTTATGTCACCGAGAGATAATTGAATAGGACACACTTAGCGGCTATACGGACTATCATATGCATGGTCGTCTGTGACGAGTGCCTTCAGCTTTGCCGATGGATTCCTGTCTTGCTTCTCATTTTTTTCCCTTGCCCTGGGGTGGCCGTCTCTTATGCTCGAGATTAGTCTATATGTAGCTAGTATATATATCGGTACTGCTATTTACCGATCGTCATAGAAAACAGCAATGCACAGCCATAGTGTTAAGCCGTGTCGTTATGCTAACATGGAAATATATTGTTCATAAATGCGTGACTGGGTGTCATTCGTGTGCTAAGGCGCGATGACAACACCACCATGTGACATCTGTTCATGTGGAAAATTACTTGGCACAAGTGAAAAACGAAAGATGCGAGCATACCAAACGCGGATCGGACCCCGAGCGGACTGTGAGCTGATTTTATGATCAATCTAGCTGCTTGAAAGCTCGCAGTGCTAAATGGCCGTAACATTTCACGCGTTCGCTGTTTGCACCTAGCGGAGACCACTGTCACAAAGCCCCCTCTAACACGACTCACCTTAACGCAGAGCTCTTCGCATTTCTCCTCCCATTGTGTGTCGGTGACTTCCAGCGCCAGAGCGACGCCACACAAGAGCAGCAGAACACAGCACCGGACGCCGTGGCCCTCCATGGTCACCGGGTCTCCCGGTTCACGCGTCAGCCGAGCGGTCGGACCGCATGGTGCGCGCGCGCGTGGGCCGTCCCCCTGTCTCTCCACCGCGCGGCGGCAAACTGACCGGCGCGGAGGCACAACCCGCCAGCGGGCCGCCCGCCGCCCGGCCCAGCAGCGGCCGCGGGAGGCCGGACAAATCGGGGGGGGGGGGGGGGCGGGATACGCCGATTGGTCGGCCGTCTGTGCCGCTCTCAGGTCATGATGGACGTCGCCGTGCGGAATGCCAGGGCGTGCTGGAAACACCTGACCGAGGTCGTGTTAAAGGTCGGAGAACGGCGGAGGACTGCTGCTGGGATATCGGTAGGCACGCGTGTGATCATGCCTTCCGCTGACAGGCTTAATCGGGGGTCAGCCGAGGTATTCCAAGCGTAAGACGAGCGGGGTGATAGCAAATATGACTGTCATCACCTTGCATACGAGGCATCGGCATAAGCTAGTGAAGTTCATCACCTTTGGGACTCCGTTCAGATATAAATTATCATTTATCAACGCGTTGGAACAGTAGCGCAGGCAGGGGGCAGAGCAGGGGACACGTGTCCCACTCCCTTAGGCTCCGAGGGTCCCTTCAGACGACTCGGAATCTATGATTAAGGGCCCGATTTGAGGGCTCGAACGACCCGAAAGGCCGGCCAGAAGTCGCATTCAGGGGCCCCAGCCCACGGGGCCGGGCACTTAAATGCCAGCCAGAGGACCCTGCGCGTTGTTCAGGGGGCCCCTGAATCACGAAGGGCCTACACGTCGGTCAGACACCACCAGTAACGCACAGTCGGTCCACTGGCGGCATGGGCCTGAGGGCACATTTTCCAAGCAGGAATAAAGTCGCAGCCAGTGATTTACATTGATCGAGACCGCGGTGGCTGTAAGGGCCCCAGAGGACCTAATGGGGGCTCTGTGTTGGCGAGTGGCCCTAGTCGGCTAGAAGCAGGGTTCGAGGAAGCCTGAAGAGCCTGGAGGGCCCACCGGGTCCGACGGTCAGTACCACGAATACATGTTGGTCAGGCACCACAAGTGCTGCACAGTCGGCTTCCTGTCGATAAGGGCCTGCGGGCCCACTTCCCAAATCAGCAACAAAGCCGGGGACAGTGATTTACACTGGTTGGGACCCCTCTGTTTGTCAAGGACCCACAGTGCCTGACAGGGGGTCATGTATTGGCTAGTGGCCCAGAGTCGGTCACGGACTTTGTTTGAGAAGGTCCGGAGATGGGCCGAAGGGCTCGTCTGGACCAAGGACTAATGGCCTAATCAGATTCGTGCCCTACCCCCACCTGTAGTGCCGTGGCCTGAAAAGTCGGTCACAGGGCCTTTCTTAGAACCCTGTCATTAGGGTTCTTTATCCCTCATATATGCAGGGCCTCGACACGGAGCCAAACAGTCAGCTCCATGTCCGTCTGAGCTCTTCAGACTCATCTCCCGAACAGGAACGAGGCCGGGGCCCGCAACGTGCAATGTTCGGGCCCTTGACTCAACGAGGGGCTCCTGTGTTGGCCAGGGGCCACAGTGCCTAGCAGGGGTCCTGCGGCGGCAAGTGGCCCCGATTCAGCCAGGGGAAGTGTTTGAGGAGACCCGAAGAGTAGCCGAAAGGTCTCTCGAGACCAAAGACCAAGGGCCCATTGGAAGGCTGAAGGCCCCGGAGGGCTGGCTGTAGGTCACATTCAGGATCCCCGTCCATATATAGGGACGATCCATGGTCCAACTGCCCAGGTCAAAAAGCCTCCCGCATCAGGGAGGGACTTACCTTATTAACAAGTTTGATGTTGTCCCTGTGTAGATTAACATCTATAGCAACAGGAACAAATAGATTCTACCTTTACTCTTCCAGTTCGACCGCCAGACTGCAGCACCTCTTCGCGCTGCTGTAAAGGCCAATGCGTTATTATCATCAATCCAAAAATCGCACAGGTGAAAATATATGCCCGGACAACGTTTTAATTGTAGGATTTTATGTCCTAAGGCGTTCAAGCGTTTTTCTTCCACGAGAGTCATCATTCCCGCCCACCTGCTGGGCACTGCTTAATGTTTACCGCGTGGCCGACTCTGCGCATCCTAAGTAGGCTGCAGCGACTGAAATCGAAGTTTTGTTGCTGAGGTGTGCGAGCACACATGCTCAAACGACGTTGCATAAGTTGTGTATCACTTATCGATTCTGACTGAGTGTTGAATATTTCCGGACAAACATGGCTTGGCCACGTTTATACGAATTGTTAACCCATTTTGGTAGTGATGGTGATCTACAACCCACATTGGCGGGGTTCCTGATCTCTGCACAACTAAAAAAAACATCTGAAAAGGTTTCTGAGTGGTATCGGTTAAAGAAGAGCCTACTTAAACATTGTAAAATGGAAAGCGCCAGTGATCCATTTTATTCAACCACTTAGTGGACCATTTGTAGTTTATTGTCTATTAGCTTTGGACAGAATTAACATCGCGGCGGCTTCTGGATTCTATTTCAGTTACAGAACACAAAAATGCAACATATAAAAGGAAAACATGCCCTCATCAACAAATGAGTAATATCAGGCGATTTTTTGGCGTGGGGCCTATTAACTATCAGGGAGCTCTTTATTATACTATTCGCCCACCCCTTACCGAGGCTCTGGCTGCGCGCCTGCGTTGAAATATTCTCTGTTCATGACCTCAGCAGGGGTATGTACGCTGACCTGTAACGTCGCGCACTAAGATACAAATGAAATTTCCGTAATATGTGATATAAACAAGAAAAGCATAGAGCCCCACGTTTTTCGGTATCGTGAGTGTTTAAGCGACCTTCAGCACACGATGATGTACTGGTCAAACGGAGGAGTACCGATGGTGTGGATAAGCTTTGCGTCTGATTCGCGTAAAGGACTACAAATGTTCCGAATCTTTGTGGACTTCCAACAACGAAAGACGGTACAACGATCAACCCTTCACACTCCCACCTTTGCTACCACTCCCACTCCCACTCCACTCCCATTCTCACTCCTCCCACTCCCACATGTTTATACCTGATGCGTGGTACTATGCTGAGGGCTCGTAGAAGCGCACACGGCTAAGTCGAGAGGTCTTGAGGACCGGTACCGAGCAAAACGATAGAAACACCACGAACATAATCACCACGAGCGCAGCCATGCGGGCCTTCAGATCCTGACACCCGATGCACCGAGCCGTACCAAAGGTTGCCTGAAACAGAGACGTCAAACTTGAAGGGCTCCGCTGATCGGCTCCAAGTACACGGTCAGAAGGTATCTTGCTCAGAAGATCCATGTTCAAAGCAACGACCAGTAAACATTCGCGAACACTCGTTACCTCAAAAAAGGTACTTGAATAACGTTCTAAGATGCTTGCGACGTTTGATTCATCTTTGGACAGATATTTCGAATGCGCAGTTAAATATTTTGATTCTTATATATTTTGATTCACGATGCCTTTTGCTGTCTACCTAAAATTGGCGTTGGCGCTGTACTATGCCCCATTACTGCGAGTCTGGTGGCTATATACGACCAGCTAGTGGTGTACACGCCCACGGCAAACGTTCGCTCCTCGCGTGTTTACCAGCATTGAGTGCTGTGTTTTAGGTCTCGTACACCACACGTTCCTGGGAAAAAGCCGCGTCCGAAATCTCCGTCCAAGGCTTGACGCCAAATTTCATCTTTAGGCGTGATTTGGGTGGCGTTTTCAGGTGAGGTACGCTTAATGATAGTTCGTTGGTTGTTACTTTCAACACCAACAGTTGTTAGCCCTCTTTGGTTCGAGCAGTTGTTGTTGTCGAACAGTTGTCAACCCTCTGTCGTTCTCTGTATGGCGCCGTGTATCGGATGTTAGGATGACTAACAACTTTAACAATTTATCACTATGGTACGTCTTTATTAACAACGCGCGCACACATTAGGAATAGTTTCTGTCTATAAAGCGTTTAGACTTTTCAACATCAAGTTTTGCTTTTGGTTGTTCACTCGTAACAATTAGCATTGTCATGGAAGGCCGAGCATTCTCATATTCCATCCTGATGATTGACTGATATATTGTGTCATCACTGATTCTGAGTCCGATTCTTAATTCAGCAAACCAGGACCTGAGCCATGAATCGGATCAGCATTGTTTGGCTCCAAACTAATGTTCTCAACGCAAAAACATAGTCCCCTTCAGAAACTGGTCATACCCAAAGGTTAAAATATCACAAAAGCTTTAGAGCATCGTTCAAGTATTTACGCCACCGTGTATTAATAAACATTCTGGGGCCCTAATCTGGAGTGTGACAGCTCTATTAGCTGTGCTGTCTCCGACCACCGCGTGTGAGCGAAAAAGCCACGCCTCAGCTCTGCGCCGCCCGGCGCCTGACCAGCGAACACCGACACCCGCCCGCACCCAAACATACAGAGCAGTCGGAGCGGAGCGGCGAGACAGACGCGCTGCAGCCGTGCAGTGCTGATGAGCTGAACAAAGCCGCATCACGAGCGGCTATCGAACGGAAGGGGCTCGCGTGGCGATGGTGTCTGATCGCTGTCGTTGACAGCGGGCCAGCCAGAGACAGGCGGACGCTTCTGCAGACCCCTCCTGACCAATGCCGACAGATCCTGACAGCTGCAGAGTGCTTCCGTCTGCTCCTGACAGCTCTCCGAGCAGCTCCTGATGCTGCGAACGGCTCACAGACATTTGCTATATATATATATATATATATATATATATATATATACGTATGCATATACACACACATATATCTACATACCATGCAAGGCTCGTGACATACACACACACACACACACACACACACATACATATATATATATATATATATTATATATATATATATCCAATATATAATATATATATATATATATATATCCAATATATATATATATATATCCAATATATATATATATATATATCCAATATAGCGTGCAAGTGACGAATATATGATTACATGCTACATTTAGGTATAACCAGTAAGGTATAACAATTAGGTACAATCAAGCTCAGTTAGATCGCCAAATTGTGTAGAGACTAGACTTCTGATGATGTTTTGATCGTGACAAGCTCCAGAACATAAAGCTTCCTCCT